TTATAGGACCAAGTTTTAGTATCCACTTCATCACTTTTCTATACGTTTTGCTGTAGTTCGATTTTTGTTGTTGTTGACTAGAGGATCGTCAGAAAGAGTTGTATTTATTATTATTGTATATAAAATTTTTAATATCAATTTTTTCACGTTAAAGTTAATATTAAGGTTAGAATTAGAGTTTGGGAAGGGTTTTTTGGGGCATAGAACATTTTTACTTAGAACATCTCATAATGATTAATTAGCCAGTTTTTGAGATAATGCAACATAGGTGGTAAAATACCATAGATGCGTTTTAGTAAAATCTGACTGGAAAATCATCAATTAAGGGTTTTTTTAAAAAGGCTAGACTTTTGTTAAAATTATTAAAAAAGGATAAAAACTTTAAATAAAGATTACAAGAAGAAATATTTAATTAGTTAAAATAATGTCTTACTACTTCTCTTATACTACAATATTCTAATTACTTTGAACTCTTTATACTATTTACAAATACTTTATATTAAGAACTTGGTGTAGTTCTTTTCCAAATTAAAAATAGTAAATAGTAGAACTTTAGCATCTGCAAAACATAATTATAGCACTATAAAACTAGAATATTTAGTAGTCATTTAAGCAATAAAATACTTTCATCATTATATTTATAAATTGAGATTTACTTTTATCACAGATCATAAAGCTTTACAATAGTTAAGGCAGTATTATTTATTATCTGATTTTTTTTTATTAGAAGCTTACTTATTTTTGCCAAAAATGCAATAAATCTCCTTTTAGTTAGACAATTCCTATATAATCAGCTATATAAAATATTTCTCTTTCTTACAATTTAACTTGAACATTTCTAATATGAAAAAATTTCAAATCTAAAAAAAAACTAAAAATTATTTAATACAAAATGAAAAATTATTTAAACAAAATAAGAATAAACTCTAAAAAATAATTAAAAATAGCCAAAAACATTTAATATTATATACTTTATATGATGAACAAAGAGTATATTTAGGTATTAATGCTATCTATAACAAAATTAAAGAAAAACACTTTTTAACTATTTCACTTTTAAAAATAACTTTAGCAACATCATATCCTTTACTTAGACCAACTCTTAACTTATGACAACTCCTATTTTCTTAGCTAAATACCTACAAAATAACCAGATTTAAATATTAAACTTAATATTATATATTATTGATTATATAAAAATCTTAATAAAAGATTATTAATCTTAATGATCACTCGGTTAACAACAATCTACCGAACTATAGTCAACGATATAGAAAAGCAACATAGTGAGCACAACAATATTCCTGGCTTTGCTCTAAGCAAACTTGTTATCGATAAAGCTTACAATATGTGAAATACCGAGAAGACATATAAGAATATTAGACAGGTTTGTGTTTTAGATCAAGTTTTTCTTTCTTCAACAGACTCCCTAATACATTTGATATCCAAACTAAAAGATTTATTTTAAAAACAAGTAGAGTAAGAGTTTCTGGACAGAAATATCGAGTAGATACTAGGAAACTGGACTATACAACTGTAAAACTTACAAGAAAACCTTACATATTTTCTTTAACCCTCCACTTTTTTTTAAAGAAAATTTTGTAAAAAAGTAAGCAATTTAGCTTATTCTCTCTAAAAGATTGACATATTGTTTACTTACCAAATCAGTCACATTGTTTATATTTTTACCTGTCATAACAAACACATAGGTTCTATAGAACTGGACATATAGATTATATGCCTTGAATGTAGCAACCTGGACAAACAATGATTTAAGACCTCTAGTGTGAATTTCTGACCTTTCTGACCTCTTTATGAATCTACTAGAACAATCCTTCTTTTTTATAGATCATATGATAATCAACAACAAATTAACTAATGATAAATCATAATTTCATATAATGTAATATGATCAGAAAAAGACAAAACAAATGTTTGTTTTGTCAAAAAACTCCTTTAGCTTACAAATTTGTATAAGAACCCGATCTTTATACTCTAACAAAAAACATCTCTTCAGCGATTTTACTATTAAAAACTTATTCTAACCCTAATTCTAACATTAACTTTGATGCTAATTTAATTTTACAGAATATTAAGTTATTTTGTCGATTATCACATGACCCATAAAATAGTGATCATCCTGGCGGATTCACCTCTTTATGGTGCTAATGTTGAAGAAGCTATTTTTTTTACTTTGTTGCAGAGTTTTCTTTTTATCTTAGTATACTATATATATAGATTAAAGTAGAGATTAGTTTAGATAATAGTACAGTATGTAATTTTTACAAAGCTTGACACAGGCTTATAATTATGACTGTCTGATGCAGATAAAAAATTCCATATTTAGTTTAATTTTTTTATTTTCCCCTTACCCTATTTATTTCTTGTTTGTATTTTTTTTAATGTATTTTCTTATACCTTTGTGTTTTTTTAAAAATTTTTCTTTTTCTTTCACTTCTTTACGAGAAGATGTTATCAGATTGACAATATTCTATTGTAGGATGATGGTCAAACAAACCCTCTAATTAGGATATATTTTTATATCTTGCTGGTGTAGCAGGTTGCCTATGGGTGCTCAAGTAAATAGTAACCATAGGATGTCAAGACTTAAGTTTTATTGTTTTATATCTTCTATGAGATGATGACTTTAATAAACAATGTCACTGATGCAATCTTGCCTAAGTGAAAAAAAAATAAAATAAAATAAAAGATTACTAGCAAAAAAAAAAATTCTTAAACTTCTATATTTACCTTAGATTCTTAATCTTTTTTATCTTATAAAGCGTAGTATTTCCCCTCTAAAATAATTTTTACAAACAAAACTTATTATTATGTTTAGTATTAAATAAAGCAATTCTATATAATATTACTATCTCAAACCATTTGCCTGTTGCTGTGTAGTAAAGTAAATTACTACACCTCCACCCCGTATATATCTGCAATAGTCGATTATTATACTGGGTAACATTGTTAGTTAAATTTTACTAAGAAGGCTACAACTCTGTAACAATTCTAAATTTAATTGCACTAAACCTACAAATACCCATTAAAAATATTAAAAAATATATAATTTTTTTTCGCTGCTTAATTAGGCTTTAAATCGACTAGCTAACAAACAGTTCGGCCAAAATTAGTTTGATTCACTCATAACGAACATTAACCAAGTTTAGTCTGCCATTTTACATCTCTACGTATAATGGCTTTGGATATGTATATAAGAATTGATTAAGATTTCTTAAAATTATCCGCAATTATTACTTTTAACAAATAGTTAAATATTAAAAAATAAATCGTTAAAATTTAAAGAAAAATTAATATTTCTCACCATAAAAATTGAAAAAAGAAAATTAATATTGATATACTGTATATATATATATAGATTTAATTAACTCATTTGACCAAAAAGTACAATATTTATGAGGACATGTCCTATGACCGCTATTGTGTTCTTATAAGGATGTTCCTTGCAAATTTAACCATAAAAATGTAGCTCTAACCTTTAAAGCATTTTTGATTTTAATAAATTTATGATTTGATATAAATATTCGTGTGCTGTGCATTACTGCTGCGTGTAAATTAAAAAAGGTTCTTTGTTTTTATACATAATATTTAAATATACGCATAATCGTAATTGGAGAGCATTAATTGTATTTATATTATTTATATTTAATTGTAGTTTACTAGGACCACGATAGTAAATACAAATTACTTGTAGTTTACTAGGACCACGATAGTAAATACAAATTACTTGGAAACACGAAGACCTCCTAGTCGACACATAACCTGTTATTGCTGTCATTCAGTCAAATGCATTTAATAACCACATTTGAAAACATGTAGAAAGAGTAAAATACCTTGGTGTTTTCTCATTAGAATCTTACAAAAAAATAATAATTCGGAATTAAAGATGTAACCACAATTTTATTACACTTAATCGCTTAAGAAACAAAGGACCATACAGTAGAATACAATACATAAAAAAAAGGACATTTTGAAAATATGAAAACAGAGAGAATGAACTTCTAAACAACAGTAAGCGTAAGAAAAAGGTAGCAAAGATTATATTATTATCCATTAAATTAGAGCCGCAGATTAATTCGGCTTAAGGTTGCTCAGCTCACAAATGGCTCAGGTCTAATCAGTAGAGCCAATAAACAGTCCAGTTCAACTAAACGTAAGCAATGAGCCAAACCGAGCCAGCCGTTTACATATCTAGTCAACAAATTATACACTTGCCGGTTTTTGATCTTCTCTTATAGGTTTCAATATATTTGAGCTGTCTGTTATTGATCGCACCTCGCCTACGTTCTCTAATGTAGACAATCGCATCCAATGCACTCATTCCGGATTCGATCAATGCAATGGCGACCAATACAGGAGCACTAATGAAGAAAAAAAGAAAGATTAAATTGATAAACTATGTTAGCAAGATTATGAACAAGGTTTTGAATCATTAACATGAAATTGAAGTGAAATTAAGTAGAAAATGAATAGAAGTTGAGTATTTACCGGCCAAGTCCGGCTACACAATGACATGCAATGGTTGGTCTCTCTTCATCTGAGACTATTTCACCGAATCGCTTTTGAACAAGATCAAGCCAGTCATTGACTATTTGAGTTGGTGGAGCTTCACCATCACCAAATACCCAATCCTATAAGATAATAAATGCTTAGTTAATTGAGAAATTATTAAAATTATTTAATTAAATATTCAATAGGATATAGATTTACATGAACTTTCATTCCACGGTCTTCTAGGGGTTCAATGTGGTAGGTAGGATCGCAGACACGAACGACATCAGTTACATTAAATCTTTCAAATTCCTAAGAAATTAAATAAAATGTTAGAAAGACACGAAGATATAAATTGAAAACAAATCAACATAAAATACCTGGATATAAAGAGACAAATTATTATCAGAAGGCGCATCTGCAATCAAAAAACGAAGATTTTTATGCTCAATGAGCGTTGGTGGAGTAATGGGACCTCGCAAAGCAGAAGCGCGCATAGCTGGCATTTGGGAGTATTTTTATTTATTTTATTTTTTTGTTGTGTGTAGGGTGATAGAGTAGTTAAAATTTTGAACTTTTTAAGCAAGTAAAGCGAATCTCTATATAATCTTGTGCGGTCGAACGTCGGGAGGCTGATTAAATAATGTTACTTCTTCGAGAGATGTATAGATTTAGGTTAGTTTTTTTTTATTTTTTTTTGAAAAGTCTTCTGTTTCTCGCTCCGAAACGAAGAGTAAGAAAAATAGAAACCCACCTCAACAAAACTTGAAAGCAAAATATTTGTATTGTATATATTTTCTATGCGGCGGAAAGGAAAAAACTCGACGACAAAGCAAGCGGCTGGCTCGAACGGAAAACTTCACAAAAGCTAACCAGGGTCAAACATAGGAGAGTACGCAGGTACAAAAGAAGCTGCGGGATTCAACTTGGAAGCACAGATTCGGGATAAGTTGTTGATAGTTAATTAATAGAATTGAAAGTTATGCACTTTTATTAATGTGCTATTCTCAGATTTACATTGAACAACTGGAAAAGGTAGGTGCGAGATAAAGTAAAAAACAGTTTTATAAGTTTTATATGAGAGAACTTGTATGAAAGTTGAAAGTTGAAAGTCGAGTAGTTTTGAGTTGAAGATATAACAACGAAAAAAAAAAAAATTCGATTTTTTTTTTTTTTTTAATATGGCTCAGTTGTCGTGTAATTTGATTGGTGGTAGTTGCTTCATATATATATACATATATATATATATATATATATAAATAATATGTATATACTTGTCAACTTGAGACTTATTATAAAATATACTATAGGAGGGAAACTCAATAAACATCTGTAACAATTATCCAGATATCACACAGCCGCTCTCAGCCCAGTTTCTTTGATGATGCACATGTAAACAAATTATATAGTACAATATAATTCTATTTTATATTATTGATAATCACAAACCACCGGTCAACAACAAGGACAACTCCATAGTGGGCAGATGTTACTTCGCCTCATGGACTTCATTATGTATACTTTGTATGACGATAACTGTGCGTACGATTACAAGATAGGCAATTGGGTGGATGCGGAAGTATTAATGTGCGAATGTAATACCAATTATAAGTTTTCGGCTACTTCCTACGTATTTATAATGATATCATTAATGGTGGTTGGATTACAGATGGATTACAGAGCACTTCTAAAACGAAGGTAAGAGTGAGCATGTGTCAAATTACCGTTATCATGTAATAAGGCTGCTATAAATATATAAATGTGTGGCCCTTCTTTAATTCTCATTGGACGTTGAGAGTCACGTTAGGGTGTACAATTCCTAATTAATCTTAAAATCAAATAGCGGAATTTTTTTTTTGTATAAATTATACATATGTACGTTAAATCTGGGGCTAATTAGGAATTTCCGTATAAATCAAAATTGTTTTGTAAACCCGATTTGCATTTATAAAAATGCCATATTTGATTAATGTAAAAGCTTTTTATCTAAAAATCAGATTAATATTATCACTTTAATGGATAAGATCGATAAATGTATCTGGTATAAAAATAAAAATACGTACGTACGTATATATTTACTATTATACTAAGGGCAAGTGCCGGTATTTTGTGAATATGATTTTATTGGTCGATTTTAAGCATCAAGGTGTGCAATTCGACCAATAAAATCACATACATAAATACCGGTATGCTAGTGATAGCAAATTGGCTCGTCAAGTCGATTTTTATTATAGTTAGAAGATACGAGTCTAGATAACGTTTTACTAGGATTGAAACACGCAGTTATGACATAACTTCATGCTTTAATAACTGTATTTTCGGCATTTACGTTGCTTCGACATTTGACATTTTACGTATAAATTTTATGCATGTGAGTTTACACGTTGATCTGGAATATTTTAAGATCATGATTAAAAATAATCTGGATCAACATGCATAGAATTTTATTAGTGTCGGCAAGGGAAAACCTCGAGCTTTCCCTTGCCGGCACTCTTAGTGTCGACAAACTTACATACTATAAAAAATACTTTAATAATAATAACAATAGTTGAAATTTAATATACTTCTTATATACGGGTGCCGCCAAGTGAAAACCAGGAATTACAAAAATAGAATTCTTCATATAACGGAATGCGGGTTTTTAATCGATCTGACTAGAATAATTAATTTGATTATGTATTAGCATCTTTTAAAGTCCGTATTTCGTTGTCAAAAAAATTCTATTATAGAATTCCTGATTTTCACTTGGCAGCATTCATATGAACTAG